GAACCTTGAAGAGCAGAGTTCGTGGCAGGGGCAGCACTTTGTGAACCGCGAAGTGCAGATTTTGTGACAGGCGCAACACTTTCTCCACCTCGAAGTGCAGATCTCGTGGCAGGCGCAGCACTTTGTGAACCTCGACGTGCAGATTTCATGGCAGGTACAATGCTCTCGCTCACACTCACACTCACTCACTCTCTCACTCTCACTCTCGCTCTCCCTCACGCTCACACTTCACACTTCACACTCACTCATCACCACCACTACCATCACCACGGTCTCCACCTTCACAACCACCATCACGTCTCTGGACGCCAATGCGTCCAGATCTCTGGACTTTCTGCTACTGCAACTCTAGACCGCACACACACTGTGTCCTTTTTGCTGGGATAGTTTGTGTTCTTTGCGGTGCCGCGCTCCGCATGCAGAGTTTAATGGTTCGCAGCTTCATTCGGCCCAGGTTCGGAAAATCGTCGGATTCTTAGAGGGATCAAGCAGCAAGTCGTGGGCACAGCTTTGGGGTGGAAGGTTGGAGAAGAAGGTCTTTGGGCCTTATGGTCATCACCTTAGGCCTTGTGATTTCTTCCAGAAACTAGGCTCACCAGGCTCACCTCTTTCTTGCTTTCAACGTGTTTGCGGCTTAGGAAAGGGTTCTTCCCAAACTGGGGACGCCTTGGGCTCGGCCCTGAGACTGGTGCTACAAATCGCCACAATGCCCGCCAACAATTCACAACAATTGATTTCCGACTTCAATTGGAAAGCGTGACATGGCATGTTGGATTGGCAACTGGCCTCAGTTGGTGCTACAATGCGTAAGGCCATGGCAACTTGCGTTTTGGATCACTTACGAACACACACGTCAAGCCATGGGTGTGATGCTCAGATTGAACACTCCGATTCCAAACGATGAACTGAATTGCGTTCGAATTATTCCGTTTGAGCCACTCAGGTTACGGCGGGTTCTGAAACCATGGACCGTGGAGAGGTGAACCAACTGAGTTGTGCTTGGTGAAAAGGCCTGAGCTTGAGTTCTCGAGCTGGACCAAACTGCTCACTCCCAAACGCGTGAAAAAGGGAAAACCGCACCTGGCGCACCAGCTGCGTGGTTGCCTCAGCTGCGGGTCTGGTCCAAAATGGAAGCCTCACCAGGCTGAAAAACATTATACACACTTGCTCCGCCCCAAAAAAAAACTCGTGCGGCAGACCCGTTTGCCCGTATTTATCAAATTAAAGAAGACCAGAGAAGAAACACAAATGGTTGAACCAGGCGAGTTGACACATGTTGAAGCTTGACCCTCGGGGGGTTCCAAAGAGGACACACCACCCTGAAGCAGCGGATGCTTCAGTGAAGATCCGCCATGCCTGCATGCGTACGAGCCGATGGGCGAGCCATCCAATGATATTTGCCCCATTTGTTTGGATGATGCGCCACTCGGTAGCATTTGAAGGGCCGGGTGCTTGTATAGGAGTGTTTTAGACTTGCGCCACTTGGCAGCTTGAGAAAAGCAGAGCACAAGACTTCAGCCATTGTGTTGTGTGGCATCAGTGTGTGAGTGCGTGCAGAGAGAGAGAGAGAGATCTAATGCACATAGGTATATATCTAAATGATTGTGCATATAGAGGACCTTTAATTTTCGTGCCAATAGGGGGTTCGCTTCCCGGCAGGCCGACGGATGCGGTGATTTGCCCGTGTCCTGGGTCCCATGTTTTTTGCAACGACTGCCTCGCAGCATCCAAAGCTCTATGTTGCCCCTTGTGTCGGCCACTTGGCCATATGACCACCTTTGACCATCGTTTTGGATGGTGATGGAGGCCATTGCTATTAGGTTTGGATGATGAAGTTTCAGTCTTTGTAGGTGGATGCAACGCCAGTTCCAAAGCATCCATGGTTGCACAGGTTTGGCTTAGGTCCCTTTGTGCTCCATTTGAAGAGTAGGTTAAAAGCAAGGCTTTAATTTATATCAGTCATTTTGGTTTGCAACTATAGGACTGCCTGCAAAGCCAATTCCGTGATCTGCAGGAATAGATCGGAACCAGTGGTGCGTTTCCTCTTCAGCCTGCAAAGACCAGGACAAGGTCAAGTGGAATGGATGATCGACCAGCTGATGGAATCAGCGTCACTTGAAATGATCAACCACAGATTGAACCATTAAGCAGATCCAAGGATGTGCAAGGACGCGGAATTTTCTTGGCCTTTTTGCAGTAGATTCCAACATGCCTTTGGCCAGTCTGACCACACTAAGAAGTCGTTGAGTGAGCTTAGGCTGCAGGGGAACATGCAAATCTTGCGAATCCTTGTGGAGTGGAACTGCCCCGTCAACATCGATGCTCAAGCCTCAGCCAGAGAAAAACAGAGGCAAACGGACAGAGAGAGAGAGAGAGGTAAACGGACAGAGTGGAGACCAATTGTTTGGACCCCAGCAGCAGCGGGAGCCAGGGATCTTTAGCCATACTATCAGGTAAGAAACGAGTCATCATGTCTTAACCGACGGATAAGGTTGTTTATTCCTAGGTTTGGGAGTTTGCGGGGAGTTTTTGAAACTTGGGTTTTCCCAGTGTCGTGAGGGAGGCTTGGCATGTTTCAGGGGCCCAGAGGAGGTTTCGGAGCCAGTTCACTTTATGACGTGAGTCGCTCTTCGGGATGCTCGTCATTGGGAACGAAATGCGGCCATGCCTAAGGATAGCGACTTGCAACCTTTGCACGTAGCTGCGCAAGAGGGGCACACTGCCATCACTCAATTTCTGGTTGAAGCTCGCGCCAGAGTTGAAGCATCAGATGCTGATGAGGCCTTTGGAGTTCTTTTTTTTCGCTTACCGCTTAACAGGCTTAACAGTTATTTGGCGTTGACATTGTTACTACTAGCGTCCTTGTTACTACTAGTAAGGCACTTGTTACTACCAGTAAGGCACTTGTTCCTAGTAGCTTCTTTGTTGGGGTGTTTGTGTCAAACTTTCTGTATGTTCTTGACTTGTGATTTCTTGTGTGATGTTGAAAAGATTCCTCGGCATTGCAAGAAGCAAGCAAGCGTGACTTGCAGGGTGCCACACCACTATCACTGGCGGCCTTCAAGGGGCATTTAGAAACGGTGCAGTTTCTGGTTCAGGTGAGGGCGCAGTTGGATCGCTTTGATGGAGATTGTCTTACACCCTTCATGGCTGCCTGCAGTGGTGGCCATGTCGAAGTGGCCCGTTTCCTTTTAGATGCGCGTTCTGATCCGCAGAAGTGCAGCATTTGGGGCTTCACCGCGCTCCACATCGCTGTGGAGGACATGTGTACCGAGGTGTGCCAGTGGCTACTGCGAGAAGCGCGGGGAATCGTGGTCAACGCTTTAGCGCAATATGACGAGACCATTCTCCACATGGCAGGGCGGATGGACCACTGGGAAGTCATCGACATGATGCAAAGCCCCTTTGGTCGCGCCTTGGTCGAAGCACGAACCACCACTGGCTTCTCAGCGCTACACTTAGCCTGTGCACTTGGAAACTTGAAGGCGGTTGATTCATTGCTACGACTACGGGCTGATCTGAACGCCAGGACCTCACACGATGTCACTGCTCTCCATTTGGCTACGGAGAACGGGCACCTCCTCACGGTGAAATACTTGTTGCTCATGGGAGCCAAGATCAACACTCCTTGCAACTGTTTTCATGTTCATCATTCCCTATTGGATTGGCACCTTCCCAGGGATTCCGGCAACTTGCTCAATGTTGAGGTGGGTGCTCGAGTGAGCTTCAACCTCGCAGAGTTCAACAGTTCGGCTCCTGGAAGCCAATGGGTCTCTGGAGTGGTGGAGGCGCCCAGAGAGCCAATTCCAAACAGATTCTCCAGCACACGATCCCATGGAACCTGTGAATTGACCGATGGTTGAAGACCATTTTCCAAATTCCAACCCGAATGGTTTGGGGGTTCCATGTGGTCCTTTGCCGGGGAATAAAACAAATTTCTCAAGACAAGTCAGTGGATCCGGTGACTGGAGCATTCTTGCTCCTAGTAGCGATGCCAGGAGCCCCTAGTAGTAGCGTCCTTGCTCAGGAGCCCCTAGTAGCTTCTTGGAAGGCCAGGGGCCCCTAGTAGCGGCCAGCCCTGATAGCGTCCTTGCTCCTAGTAGTAAGGCCAGGAGCCCCTAGTAGTAATACGGCCAGGAGCCCCCAGTAGCTTCTTGTTACTAGTAGTAAGGCCAGGAGCCCCTAGCGTCCGTGCTCCTAGATCTGTTTTCAATATCCCTTTGCAGACCATAGGTTCTTGCGTGCAGGCCAGCCGACGAACTGATGATATAACATAGCGCAACAATTCTTTTTGAGGGGCAGTTTCTGAAAAAGTCTTGTTGGAGGCCGCTATTAGGTTGGAGGCCATCGCTGCTTTTTGTGGGGCAGTTTCAGTCTTTCACGGAGGCCATCGAGCAGGACCCTGACTCACCAGACCGCTTTGAAGACCTCTTGATGGTGAACACTGGAGAAATCACTTGCGCCGTGTCGAGGTACCACTGTATGCCGCATTTGCCTTCCACGTTGGTGGAAAGCCGCCATGTCATTGCAACCGGTGAGACGGTATACATCAAGGCGCCCATTTACTGCAGCTCAGGGGATTGGATTTTGGTGCCTGGGGATGTTGGCCATGTGGTGGCCATTTATTCATCAGGGGAATATGAGGTGGAAGCTGCCTGGGACGCGTCGAAGTCGAGATACCTGGCAACTCGTGATGATTTGATTCCTTTCCTTCAAGAAGAGGCTCTCCATACTGCGGCGCGCAAGGGGTATTTGGACATCGTCAAAGAGCTTCTCGAGGCCCGAGCCGTCCTTCGGCAGATCATAGAAGGAAGTGCCACAGGCAGAGACAAGGGAGAATGACCACCTCCAAAGGAGTTCGTTTCCTACCCAGTCAGTGGAAAAACGTTAGCCTTTTGGCGGAATCCGCTAAAAGGAACCGGTAGAAAAAAGGATAAAACAGGTTAACCTTCATTGTCCAGGGAAACTGAGGCAGTCAGGGTTTTAGACGAGTTTTAATTCTTCACACAAATTGTCCTTGTGGGCATCCTTGTTGTTTGGAGGCCGTCGCTATTAAAGCCACGCTCTCATGCTTGTTGATGCGTGGTTGTAGGATGTTGTAGGATATCGCCCTGCGCGGGCATTCCTGCGCCCACGAGCATCCAAAACACGCTCAAGTCATAGGATTTTCTGCACGTCAGACGTGCCACATCAGCTGACCAAGGACATGGAAGCCGGGCCGAGGACTGCACTTCACTGTGCCGCCCAAAGTGGCCACTTAGAAGTTGTGCAGATGCTCCTGGCAGCCAGGGCTGATATTGATGCGCAGTGGTTGGTTGCCAGCCGCAGTTGGGATTTCCGTACTTTTTGGCATTTGAATGGAACATGGCCAGTGTTTAGCTTTACGCGAAGAGATCCTTTTGTCGAGACAGGAGCCTCTGAGAGTGTAGCCCATCAATACCAGTCAAGACTACGCACCTTATTAGTAGAGAGGGGACCAACATACCGCGAGGCGAGGCTAGCCTAGAGATACTCAGATTATACAGGCGCAGTCCAAGAATTAGCGCGATTTCTAGAATGCTGTGCCGGAAAGACTTAAAACAGATATATTTATATATAATGTCTAATAAGCAGTAGTGTCCCCAGGTGGTTTCGCATCATATGCATTGGCAGGTGGACGGCTCGCTTTGTAAACACAGGCTTTCGCACTGTGAACGTAGATGTTTGTGGCTAAGCACACTGTTAGAGATGTGCGCTTCTTGCATGCCAAACAAGGTCTCAGGACATGCCACAGGACTCAATACAAGGTCTCCACGATTCAAAGTGGTGGAACATCCAGGGCACCAGGGGACCACACGGGTCCGGGAACACGGGGCCCTCGTCGACTCTGCTGGTCCGGTGTCTTTGGTTTGAAGCCATCGCCACTGTTAGGGTGGAGGAATCAAGAAACTGCAAGATGCGCGTAGATCCATAGATCTGGGCAAATTATATCGACGTCACCGACGTCACCCTGAATTAACGACCTAGGTTTTGAAATTTAGATCTTGTTACCCCATTGAAATATTTCATCAATCACCTGCTGTGGTGGGCCTCATCTGAGCCATACAGATGATACATTTCATTCATATATCCAATGTCAGAGCAGCGCATCCTTCTCACTTAAACATTCCGGACGCCCTGAAACAGCCACTGCCTTCGCGCTCCTGTTCCGCGCGCAAAACATGCACACAAACACATTGTGGGAAAAGGCAACAAGCTTCCAGAGGTTGGGGTTCGAGCCTGGGCGTTCCGCTTCGAAGGGCGCGGTTTTAACGAACCCCAAACTCGAAAACAAACCTATTTTTGCAAAACGGGGTTTCACGACTGTGGATTGGTTCGCGGCCGTTTTGGCGTTGTCTCGGGACCCCCCAAGGCCTAGTCAGTAAAGAAGTTGCCCTGCACAGCTCAACCGGACAAGCCCCGTCAAAAAAAACATATTTTTGCAGAATGGGGTTTCGCGACTGTGGATTGGTTCGCGGCCTTTTGCACGTTGTTGCGGGCCCTAGCGAGCCCCAGCAAGTAAGGAAACTGTGCTGAGCAGCTCAAATAGGCCCTTGTAAAAGGAACATTATTCCCCAAACAGCGTGGTCACACTGAGGGGTTCTTACGGTAGGAGAAAAACAGGTGCACTTAGAATCGCTGAAGCGCGCGGGCGTGGACGGCTAATTCGCTGCTATTTATAGTGCATTCATACCTCTCGAAATCGTCCACGTGCATTTCGACTGCGCAGGCTGACAAAGTCTGGGTGGCCGCGGCGGGTGCTTCTAGCGACTGCGCTCTCGTTGTGGTGCCGTGCGCATTTTTGCACATGGTGGTGACTTTTCGTGGCAGGCGCAAGGGAAGCCTCGTGTTTTGGTGCTCCAAAGCCGACTTTTCGTAACAGGCTAAAATGACACCTGCATGGGTGATCACTCTGCCTGCATGGGCAGTGAGTAAGGAACAAAGAGAAACAAAACCTTGTTCAAGGCTAGGTGGTTCCGAAAAACGGACTCCACTCACGAGGGTCTTTGAACGCCTTCACTGGCTGCGGGAAAAGTCGAGTCCCTAACTCCTTGTTTGCGTGATTGTTTCCTTTAGAGCACACATACGGAAATTGAGCAAGAGGACCCACCAGAATAATCCAGAATACAAAAATAAAAAAGTCCGCCGCCCTGTGTTTGTTCCTGCGGACGTTCCATCCATTCCTGACTGCTGAAAGCCATCAGGAAAAGGCCACAACTACCAGTGAACGATTGCAAACGGCACGTAGTTGGTGGGTTTGCGGTTTAGCTTCAGGTTTCAAATTCCGCCTTGGAAACTGCTGCTTCGGCTGGGCAAGAAGCGGTTGTGGCATACTTTCTGGACAGCAAGGCGGCACTCCATTCGCGACGACCGTTACAAGTTTTGGCGGAGGCAACAGCGGCAACGCGGGCGGCTGGAAATCCAACCGAAGTCTTGGTGGAACAATTGCTCGAACTGATGGGTGGCTTTGCAGATTGCGATGAGTGGCTGGCGGAGACCGACCTCTGGTTAGATCGCAACTGCCTTCTACACTTGAGAGACTTAGGTATGGATTGCTTGCTGAAAGGCGATGAGGTGTGCGCTGCTGGGATTTCCGAACTCTTGGGCCGTGTGAGATGCTGTGATGCACCGCACCGAGTGTGCGAGAGATGGGGGTCTGAGACCCGAAAGGGCCTCAAATGGCAATGAGTGATGGGCACACGTAGCTTCTTGTTGCGCCCGTAGCCATGGCCTCCACCGTGCGTAGCTTCTTGCTACTAGTATGGCCAGGAGCGCCCCGTTCGTAGTGTCCTTGCTCCGTTCGTAGCGATGTCCTTTGTTACTAGTACCAAACGGGCTTGTCCCGGAGGTCCTTTTTCTGCCAATGGCCACCTTAAGTACACAGGACCGAAACAGAAGGGCCTGGTGCCGTGTGGCCTTGGACCGGAAAACACGATTGTGTCCGGACGCAGATGTGGCGCATGTTTTCTTGCACCTTTTTCATGCTACTCCAAACGCAAGTTGGAACCGCAGCATTTTCTTCGTAGAACTGATATGTGGCAAGAAGGATCATCAGAGACCTAGCAACGAAGCAGATTGGGGGGTGGTCACAGCAAATATCTGGATTTAATGTTGTTTGCACTTGTGATGTAGTCGATGCTTGTGCCAGCATGGCTAAGCCAACAGCTGCGCAGCAAGCACCAGGCCCCAAGAGTTGTGAGGTACGCTTTTCGTAGTGGTACGACTTGAGAGGAATCACGCATGCACTACTATTTGTAATATGCCAAATGAACGAAATCAGTGCGAATAGTTTATATGCTTTGCTGGTATGCACAGATACGTACACATGTATGGGTGAAGACACGTTTTTTGTATGTTTGTTCAGCACTGTGCACTTGCACAGACACCTAGGTACACATAGATTGCCACGCCAAAGCAACAGTGTGTTTTTCTGGGTCCAATCTTGAGATATGATCGACACACCTGTTGAAACCATGGCCATGTTGGAATGTTCCCCAATGTCATCCCCTGCTCAGGCCAAATGGCTTGAGTTTCAGGATGGGGTGCGGCGCCAGCGTGAGCTATGGTGAGGTGAGGAGCCGGTCATGGGGGTATACGACGCACAAATAGAAGACACGTTGAAAAAACGTGGTGATTGCTGCATTTTGTTTGTTTGGATGTTTTGTGAAACCACACTGCGCATGAACTCACTCGTAATCTTGCCCTTGGCTCGTAAGCGCCATTCCAGACCTGGAAGCCATGAAGGTTGGGAGACCTTGGCGCCATTGGGTCCCAGCTTCTGGAGGCTTCTTAACTTTAACGTGGGCAGCTGGAAGACGATGGGAAGGCTGCGCAGCAGAAGCCAAGAGATTTGAAGAGCCTGAACGGGTTATCAAGGAAGAAGAACTACGGCTGCACAACCAAGTGGCGGATGCATGGATTAGCTTCGATGGTTCAGTCTATGACATCACCCGATACATCCAAAGACATCCTCCCTGTGAAGGCCTTCACTGGGCCCAAAGAGTGGCTGGGAGGCGCTTTGAGCATTTCTTGGGTCGGGATGCTTTTGGGCCGGCGCACCTTGGATGTGGACCAGATGCCAACTGCAGCAGAGGTGTGAAAGTTGAGTTGGCCAAGATGTTAGAACCCTATCGCATTGGTCGATTTCAAGCGGCAGAACCCAGTCCGGCCGCCGGAAGGTGGCCTGATGTGGAAGCTGCTTCGGCGCAGCTTCGCCTGGAATGGGCGGATGGCAGTTTGATCCAGGTTCTAACCATGGAGGACTTACAAAAGTTCAAGAAGCGAACAAAGACGGTCACTCACAAATGCACTACATCTGGAAATGTGAATAGCCAGGAGTGGAGTGGGGTCCCAGTGAAAGATCTGCTGCCAGAGCGGCCTGCCAGTACATGGGATCCTTTGGTCACTTTCATTGGAATGGACGGTTTCGGATACTCAATATTTTTATCCAGAGCATCCATGGAGGATGCTTCTTGGCAAGCAATCACACTGCATGGTCACCTGGTATGATGTTTTTGGTGTATTTTTTGTCTCATCACTTGTATCTCCATGGTTGAGAAGGTAAGGTGAAATTCGTGCCCTTTACTGTAATTGCATTCGAGGTCATCCTGGCTTACCAGCAGAATGGGGAAGCGTTGAGTACTGAAAGTGGCGGACCGCTTCGCTTAGTGCTCCTTCGTCAGAGTAGAACTTCTGGGGTCCTCTTGGGTTGTCCTGTAAGTGCCAAAATCACGAAAGCTAGCATGCTAGCTGAGTTCTTCTTTGCTTTAGCAATGTTGTGGTGGGAGGGGCTGCGTGCCTTAAAGATTGATATATCAAGCTAACCCCCCCCCCCGCGGTTCAACTCCCAGCTGCGCCGTGTAGGGGGTTGGTTGAACGTGTGAACGTGGTTGGTTGGGTGTAACGGTGGCTTGGTGTAAAGGGTGCTGCTGCTGCTGCCGCTCTGCTGCTTGCTGCTGCTGTTTGCTGCTGCCGCTGGTTGCCGCTTTTGTAGCTGCTGCTTTGCTACTTGCTGCTGCTGTTGCTGACGACGCCGCTGCTACTGCTGCTTGCTGCTTGCTGCTTGCTGCTGCTGCTTGCTGCTTGCTGCCGGTGGTGCTTGCTGCCGGTGGTGCTGCTGCTGCTGCGGCTTGATGCTGCGCTGCTGCTGCGTGGTGCTGCTGGCTGGCTGCTGGTTGGTGGTTGCTGCTGGCTGCTGGCTGCAGGCGGCTGCTGCTGCTGCTGCTGCTGGCTGCTGCTTGCTGCATAGGACTTGTACTTCACCGTTACAAGTTGTTTACCCCTATTTCTAACCTAATGCATGCATAAGCGGGTGGTAAATTTACCCCCCAGGCTTGCTATAACCATACACCGGCTATTTCCTCAAGACACTCTATTCTTGATACCTTTTACCAGTGCTTATCCTACACTACGGACGCCCTAGTGTATGCACAGTCCTTGTGATGCTTACCCCTCGTTCCGGCTCAAGGCATACATAAGCGGGGGGTAAATTTACCCCCCAGATTTGCCATAACCATAAGCCGGCTATTTCCTCAAGACACTCTACTCCTTATACCTTTTACCAGTGCTTATCCTACACTACGGACGCCCTAGTGTATGCACAGTCCTTGTGATGCCAGAAATGCTTACCCCTCTTTCCAGCGCAAGGCATACATAAGCGGGGGGTATTTTTACCCCCCAGATTTGCAATGACCATACACCGGCTATTTCCTCAAGACACTCTATTCCATATACCTTTTACCCGTGCTTCTCCTACACTACGGTATTGTACAGTCCGTATGATGTCAGAAATGCTTACCCCTCTTTCCGACTCAAGGCATACAAAAGCGGAGGGTAAATTTACCCCCCAGATTTGCCGATCACGCATCTTCGTGCCTGCCAACGAGTGCACCCGGGTTGTTCCAATGTACCCTTCCCAGTCAGCGATGTCACATTTACATTCTTTAGCGCAAAGTATGTACATAGCAACCTTCCTCCCAAAACATGTCATCCCTACATGCTTTGCCGACTATGTAACTAGTACATCCGGTGCGATTCGGCTAGCTTTCGACCTCTCCCCCTGGCCTCAAGTGATCAATTACACCAGCATAGACCCCAAACAGCGTCAGCATTTTTGTCGGCGTCGGCGTCAACTCCGAAAATTCCAATGTTGGTGGAAACGAATATACGAATGTAAGTATACTTTTCTAAAGCCTCCACATGTTTGGGAACTGCGCCTAAACAATAATTGATTGAAACACCAGTTCCTGATGCCTGTGTCACATGCGCAAAACGATGGGATACCGGATATATGTCGTGAGAAGAGCCGATGGTGATATCGCATTTCGATCGCTGTGTCACTGTTGCATTCATAGCCACATGAAAACATACCCAGACAAGGCGGTGGAGATAGGAAAAAAGGCGTGGCCAAGCAGGGGACAAGCCCCGGGTAAGACAATGATAAACGGGCCCACAACGTGGACAAGCAGGACAGGCAGACCTGGACAAACAACAAAAGAAGGACACGGGGTATACGACCACGGCACGAGGACAGCGGGGAACACCAGGAGGACCCACAGGGTTCGAAAACCTGGCCACTAGAAGCAGGAGGAAGACACAGGGCGCGCCAGTGTGGCCAAAAAACTTGGAGGACAAGAGGAGGAGGCGAGGAGGACAAGAAAAGGACAAAAGGAGGACGCAGGGTTGGCCAGCGCAGCCAGACGACAAGAAAGTACAAAAGGAGAGGAGGACAGGAGGACGACAAGAAGAGGAGGACAAGAAAAGGACAAGAGGAGGACAAGAGCAGGACAAGAGGAGGACAAGAGGAGGAGAAGAGAAGGACCAGAGGAAGCAAGAGGAGGAGAAGAGAACAAGAGGAGGAGGAGAGGAGGACAAGAGGACCAGCGCGGCCAGGGGACAGTTCAGGGGCGCGGCCAGCCAGTGTGGCCAGCTCCTGTTTCCCAAGACAACCCAAACAGTAAACTGTTTGGGGAACAACTCCCAGCCACTCGGAACTATTCCTCTTCTAGGGTAGCTTGATAGTCCTTGTCCTTCAGTCTTTAAAGCTGGGACGCACTCCCAAGCGCTGCAAAACACACTCCCGGCAAGGCTCACAGGGCGCGCCTCGAGCGCGCCTACACGAATTCACCGTTCTTCAAACACCGTTCTTCAAACTGTGCTGCCAGCGCGTTCCAGAGCGCATCTGTAACGCGCCCTCCAAACACTTGCCGGGCGCGCCCAGAGCGCGCTGCCTGCAGGTTAACAGAGTAAGCACACTCCCCGAGCGCGCCTGGAGCGCGCTGGCGCACACCCAAAAATGCTGGAGAAGCCAGCGGAACACGCTCCCTGAGCGCACGCTGACCGAACGTTCAACAAGAGTCCGCCCTGCAACGCCAAGACGAGGGCAAGAGAAGGACAAAAGGCAGCCAGAGGACAAGAACAGGACAAGAGGAGGAGGAGAGGAGGACGGGCGCGGCCAGCCAGTCGAAAAAATCCAAACCACTCGGAACTATTCCTGAAATGCAAGCGCGCCCAACAGCGCGCCCCCAGCATGTGCTACAGCCCGCGCCCAAAATCGAACTGAAGAGGACACCCCTCTCGTTGAAAAAATTAGGGCTCACAGGAACAGCTATGGCGCCAGAGCGAGCTGCCAAAGCCTTCTCCAGACAGAGCGCGCCCAGAACCCCAGTCGAGCGTGCCTTTCCGGAGCGCGCGCCATTCCTGGAGCGCGCCCAAAACGTTCTCCCAGCGCCTATAAGAAGCAACATTTAAGGAATTGCGCGCTAATTGAAGAGAGGGCTCCAAACTTCAGAGCGCGCTGCCTGCGCGTTCCATGCAGACACCTGCTGAGGGCGCCCGCAGCGCGCTGCCAGCACATATACAGAGCGCGCCGGAGCGCGCGCCCTTAAGTAAGCACACTCCCCGAGCGCGCCTGGAGCGCGCTGGCGCACACCCAAAAATGCTTGAGAAGCTTGCAGAACACGCTCCCCGAGCGCGCGCTGAGCGCGCTGACCGAACGTTCCAGAGTCCGCCCTGCAACGCTCCGAACGCTCCGAATGCAGGCATGGCCTTCGAAGAAGCCCTTCCATTGTCAGTCGGGCGCGGTCCAGGCAAGCTTCAGGCGGACAAGAGAAGGACAAGAGGAAGACAACAGCAGGACAAGAGGACGACAAGGGGAAGACAACAGCAGGACAAGAGGAGGACAAGAGAGGAGGACAGGACAACAGCAGGGCAAGGACAGGTTTGGTCAGCGCGGCCAGAGGACAACGGCAGGACAGGGCCCAGCCAGAGTTCAGAGGCGCGGCCAAGACAAGGAGTAGAAGACCCGGGCGCGACAAGGACAAGAAAAGAACAACACCCGGACACAGAGCCGGGGGACAGAGTTCAGGGGCGCGGCCAAAACAAAGGACAAGAGGAGGATAAGAGGAGGACAGCGGTAAACTGTTTGGGGGAACACAGAGCCCAGCCACAGAGTTCAGGGGCGCGGCCAGGAGGAGGAAGGACAAGGCCTGGAAAGAGAGCGGCTGGGCTCCGTGGCCCAGCTCTGTGTCCTGGCCGAGGGGGACAAGGCCTGGACACAGATGAGGGGCGCGGCCAGTGAGTGTGGCCAGCCAGCGCTTTTTTTCTAAGAGAGAGCCCCAACAGTAAACTGTTTGGGGAAAAGTGTAGGAACTTGGTATATAAGTCAGAACTAGCAACAACTAGAACGTGCTGTGCTCACGTTGGAACATGTACATCCTTGCCATTACATTACACATTGCACACAAGGATGCCTTTTGTCCGATGCAGAGTTAAATGCGCTTAATAGCAGCACTGCAGCCCTTTCCAAACTTATCCAATGACACTTGCTTAGGAAAGATGGTCAGCACGCAAAGTGGGTGGAGACCGTGATTGTGGAGTGAGAGATGCTCATAGTTTCTGTGTGCCGCTACCTTTCGCCAAAATGAGTGCCGAAAAGTCACTGCCTTACGTTGGAGGCCGTCGCCGTCGCTACTAGGTTGGAGGCCATCGCTATTGGGCTGGAGGCCATCGCTTCTAGGATGGCCATCGCTATTAGGTTGGAGGCCATCGCTATTGGGTTGGAGGCCATCGCTATGGGGCTGGAGGCCATCGCTATTAGGTTGAAGGATCGAAGGCCATCGCTATTAGGTTGGAGGCCCTCGCTATTGGGCTGGAGGCCATCACTATATTAGGTTGAAGGCCATTCGAGGTTGGAAGCCATCGTTATTAGGTTGGAGGCCATCGCCAGTAGGTTGGAGGCCATCGCTTCTAGCGTTGGAGGCCATCGCTATTAGGTTGGAGGCCCCGCATGACGTTTTGCCGCGCGCTGGGCAGGTCGAAGATGAGGACGAGCACGAGCACGAGCACCCGAGGCTTTCGGATTAGGACTGTAGCAGCAAAAGTTCAATTGCTTTAGGCCGATGGCACCCGACACAATCCAAAAGAGAAAGACGCTGCGTTCTATCACTGTTGCACTTGGCTACAACAAACTTGGCTGTTCGGCCATTCTGCCATCGCAGGCGGATGGTGTCCCCTCCTGCGGAAATTTTGGAGAAAGACTTTTCTTCCATGCGCTGGACTCGTGGATGCTGTTCGCGTCATTTTTGGGGGGCTGAATCCTTTTTGAGGCTCCAGCTGCAGTTCCGCGGGGAGGCTTGCTGGAGCAGGGCTTGGAGCAGGGAGCCTTTTGGAAGGGTCACAGTATGTCACGCTGCATGGACTGAAGGGCTTGAAAGATGGAGAGAGGAGTTTTTTGGTCTGAACCTGAGCTCCATGGCGTTCTTTGCTCCCGAAAAGCACTAGGGAAAAAACAATAAGGACAAAACCTTTGAAGGTCTAAAGAAGAAGAAACATGAAGAAACAAGGACAAACAAGGACAACAAAGAAAGGAGAAATGACGACTTGTGAATTTCAGATTTCATGGGGGGGTAAGAGAACGCTACTAGGGGCTCCTGGCATCGCTACCAGTAGCAAGGACGCTACTAGGGGTTCCTGGCCGTACTACTAGGCACAAGGACGCTACTAGGAACAAGTGCATCGCTTCTAGTAACAAGTGCCTTACTAGTAGTAACAAGAAGCTAGTAGTAACAAGGGCATTGCTACGAACGGATGAGGTCGTCTACACCAGATCTTCAGGCCAAACAGTTTCGTTCGATCGCTGAATGGTCCACAGTTAAGCTCGAGATTTGAAACATGAAGGTCTAAAGGAACAAAGGAAGACAGGTCTAAAGAAAAACGAACGAAAGAAACGAACAGATTCATGTAGAGATATGAGGTGAAGGGTTGTGGGCAGAACTGGGCAAGACAGAAGTTTGCTCGCTGGACACCACGTTGGAACCTGAGAAGATCATGTTTTGCACCATGCAACTAGGCAACAACTAGGCAACCAGATCAATCCTGTTTTCAACATTTTGGAGGCAATCGTTATTAGGTTGGAGGCCATCGCCAGTAGATTGGAGGCCGTCGCTATTGGGTTGGAATCCATCGCTAGCAGGTTGGAGGCCATCGCTATTAGGTTGGAGGCCATCTCTAGCAGGTTTAATCTTTGTTTATTTTCACATGTACCTTAAAATCCATGTCGCTGTAAGGTGGCCGGTGTGGGGAACCATCATGGAGTTGCAATTCCGAGTCCCGAGCCTGGACAACGATTCAGAATTTGTGTGATTAACACTTGGAGCACACACACGCACACCGTGAGGTCGAAATCATGAGGCAGATGCGATGCGAAGCATACAAGGTCACAAGAAGGGTTTTGAGGGATCACCACAGCCGACCATAGCTTGCTTCCTGCGTCAGATGGTGCACAATGAAAGTTTGGATGAACTGCGTCATCACAGGCAGGTTCTTTTTTCGTTCTTGTTCGTCCATCCAACGGCACAGGAACCAATCAAAATGCCACGAATCATTACGAGTTGTTTTTCTAGCTTTTTTCTTCGGTACTTGTTTGTTGTTTCCTTGTCTCACGAACCGCATTGGAGGAGTGTTGTACCAAGATGTATGAGTACATTTTTCTTTTGCTTCTGCATGCTTCTGCTATTTTTCCTTTTCATTGTTTTTTTCCATTTGTTCCATTTTGTTCCTGTATTCAGTTTTTGTTGATTATTTGTTTTTGAGTCTATGTCTTCATTTCTTCATCTTCCTGTTTGATGTCCAAGAGTCTTGTGTTGAGCACATCGCCAAGGTTCATCGGTGCCTGTGAGTTTATGTTGACCGTCAGGTGCCCCAGGTTTGGAGCGATCTCCCAATAACAGCGATGGCCTCCAACCTGCTAGCGTCCGATCGCTCCGTTCGTAGCGATGCCCTTTGTTCCTAGTAGCGTCCCTTGCTCCTAATAGCGATGGCCTCCAACCTAATTTTTGCAAAAAAACATCAGTCGAAATCACCTCATGTTCTGCCCATGTCTCAAGGAAGCAGTCATTCGCAGGGCGAAGGCAAGGGCTGCTCATGTGCTGCGCTTGACAATTCAATCGCTTCGTTCAGTCCTTCGGTGGCTGCAAACTCAGAAGCCTTGTTACGAGTAGCTTCTCGCTACTAGTAGCGATGCACTTGTTACTAGTAGTGTGAAAACACGGGAACACGAAAGGAGATCAAACCGAGTTCACCGTCGATGCGGAACGCTCTAAGTTTCCGTCTGCAGTAAGGGGACCTTTTCTCTTCAAGGCCTAGTACGGGCGGCCACGTCATGTGGCTCAAGCGCGCTGGACAAGGGAGCGGCGCGGCGAGTGTGAATCGAGCGCAGTCATCATGGAATGACTTCAACTCATGCTTCTTGCTACAAATTGACACTGGTGGAAAAGTAAAAGGGTTTTGACCTTCGGTCAAGTCACCATCGGTCCTTCTGGACCTGCTTTTCACACATCTTGCAACTTTCAATGGCCGTTTGGCCGGATGCGGTGTGGAATGCTGGACACTGTGGGTCAACATGGAACTTTGTTCCTCGTGGAGCCATGAAGATTTCCTTCGGGATCGGTGTTTCTCTGCAGTTCTGGATTCTTCGATGTTCCTGCTGCAGGACGTGGTGTTGGCCTTGTAGGCTTTGGAGGGCTTGAACTGTGCGTTGGTATGAAGCATTTGCGAGTCGTGCTTCGGTGGTTGCTTCTCTCAAACCAACTTCATATTCATCCATTCGATCATCTTGTCGATGAACTTCAGCTTCCAGGTAGTTGATCCTGTGCTGGAGCATTGCATTTGCTTCAATGTGCTCTTTCACTTCATTTTTCAATCTTTCATTCTCTTCACGAAGTCGGGTCGGCACCAGCTTTTGAAGCTGTTCTGTCGTTTGGGCGGAACTTTCTGTGGTTTCCACCTCATGACTTTCTTCACTTTCCATGTCCATCAAGTTCTGGGACTTCTCATCGTTCATCACCTTGCCGATGACATTCACAAGGGCCTTGAGCATGTTCATGAAAGCTTGAGAGGCACCAAAAAGGGCGAGTGCAGTAAACAGCATGAAAACATAAATGTTGTAGGTCTCGTTGGTCTCACCTGTTTCACTTGCTGCTTGTGCTACACTTGATGATCCCAAGATGATCATCATTGCCAATCCTCTTCGGGCTTCAGCTTTTGACAATGCATTGCGGCGTGCATTGTCATGTCGCTCTTTTGGACTTTTCTTCTTGGCAGCGGTGAAGCTCTGGTCGGACTGGAGGGTGAACATGTGTGTTCGTAGGCGGTCTGCCATGAGCTGCCTTGAAGCCACTTTTGTAAGGCCATCAGCCAGTTGAAACTCACTGGACATCCACTTCAGGAGACATCCTGTTGTGGTCATCTTTTCTTTGATCACCAAGGCCTCGATCTGGGTGCGTTTGTCCCCAGTCAACTGTGGTGCTTCGCTTTTGAGGCAGTCATATAGGGCTTTGGCATCGACCACAAGTGCACATGGTAGTCGACCAGTTCTCTCATCCACATTTGAGGTGGTGAATGAGCTGTTGACACATCCCTTCCAAAACAACTGGATGTACTCGAGGGAATCCATGGCGGCACTGCAAGCTTGAGATTCGGAATTCAAACTGCTTCTGCTAATTCGTGGCAGCTTGTATGATCTCCAGTCGAGGATGACATACTTGAAATCGCCACTCTTTTGCAGAACGTCCTTGTGGGACAACAGGATGAAGTATCCTCCTTGGCTCAAGTGATCGGGGCGGACACCCCATGCAGCGTCACTGACAGCAGTCAAACATAGTTCATTCAAATCACCCAATCTTGTGAACTGTAGGGAGGCGTCCTTGTTGTTCTTTGCAAACCTGAGTGCTTTGTTTGCAGCTTTTGCTATGGACTCTGTTGCACCGTTGATGCTACCACAAAGTAGGGAGATTGAAGCGCTCAAGTGCGGCATCGACTGTGTTGATGGCCATTGTAGTGCTCCCAACAGTCCTCGGAGTGCTGACACTTCTTTTGGAGATAGTGGATCATGGTCTCCTTTTGGCGTCGTTGTCAGAGGTTTCACTCCAGGGATGTAGTCTTCCTGGTGCAATTGCCATGTTTGTTCACCAGTCTTCTTTAGTTTGCAGCCACAAAACTCAAGTTGTCTGCCTTCTGCCTCTTCACTCCAATGCTTGAAGTCGAAGGTCTTGCGAAGATCACCTTTGACCTTTTGGTACATCGATGAGCTTGGATCGCCTGCACCTAGCATGTCATCAACGTGGAGGCCAATCAAACATACCAAGCGGTCATTCTCATCGAACAGTCGGAAGAGGCAACATTCGAGGGGATGAGGTGCAAATCCCAACTGTCGAAGCTTCCTGGTTGCAACTTTGTACCATTCACGTGGTGCGTCAGCTTGACCATAAAGCGGCTTCTTCAATTTCATCAACGCTCCACTCTCCAAGTTCAACATTTTGCAGGCATCATGAGGAAGCTTTACCCACAACTGGCGAGATTGAGGATCGCCTTGGAGGAATGCTGTTGCAACGTCGCTCACCCACTTTTCCCAATTTTCATTGCATGCGATGGCCAACAGGGTTTGGCGAGCTGTTCGGCACAAAGTGGGACTGCTTGTTTCCAACTTCCCTTCAAGAAGATCAGGGTCATTGAACCCTTGGAGGACGAGGCGTGCTTTTGCTCGTTGTTCACCTCCTGCTCCAGTGCGCCAAGCGAGAACCCATCTTGCTCGAAGTATGCGATCTGGAGCGACATTGTGTGGATGTAGTTCCACCTCCCAAACACCATTCTCGAAGATCGAGCTAAGTTCACTTTTCTTGCCTTCAACGAATGCGAGACGATCTTCCCAGGAGAGCTTCTTCTCATCAACATTGGAGGGTGTTGGCTTCTTCTTTGGTGCAGTGACTGCAGCCCAAATATGCCCACGGCATCGCAGCGTCCAACGGGTGTTGAGCTTGTCCTTGAGATCACCAGCATAGGGCAGGTGTCGGCTCTGCGCTGCTTCTTTTGTGAGCGGGAAGAGAGTTTTGCCAACCCATTGATCCTTGCCAATTGAGTAGGTCTCCTTGTTGTTCACAAAAACTTGGCGAGATCCATTTGGCAGGGTCAAACCAGCTGTTGATTGAAGTTCTTCTGCTGCTACTGGAAGTGGTGCTTCTTCGGAAGTGAAGGTGGAGTTTCTGGACCACACATGGTTGCGAACAAGAAAGCCGTCTTCAAAACTCCAATAGTCTTTTGTTTCACCCAGCACGAACTCTCCGGTGGCCTTGTCGAACGACCAGCCTTCTACCAAGTTGTTGAGGCTGTCGGTGTTCATGGTGTCATCAAGGGCCAGGAGGTCGGTGTCAACTTGCAAATCTTCTTCCTGTGGTCTTCGGATCCTTTTGTTTCTATGCTCTTCTGCTGGCTCAGTGATGGGAACCACTGGATGAACTCGTCGAGCTTGTATGGTTTCTTGTTGGTCAAATCGAGTTCTTCAAAGGTTTCTTGAGAGCCGGCTGGTTGAGCATATAGTGGATCAAGTTCCCACTCCGGATCAGGATCTGGCTCTGCCACTGACGGTGACACATGTTGTTGTGGTTCATCAAGATCTTGATCTTCAGGAACTGGTGGAAGTTGACCTGGGTCCATTGGTACATCAGGTTCTCCAACAAGATGCTCGGGAGGTTCATTATGACCTGGTGATTCACTTTGACCATGAGGTTCGTTCGGACCTGGAGGTTCTGAAGCATCTCCTTGATTGAGAGGTGCTTGATGGTGTTCATTTTGAAGTGGTTCCAAGTCAATGTTTACCTCAGGAGCCAAGAGTTCTTCAGCCTCTGCGTGGTCAGGGTCCATGTCGTCTAGACTTTGGCGATTGGTTCTTTCGAGATCGATGATGCGGACGACACGTCGCTGTCGGAGTCCTTCCATTGCTTGGATTGCACGCTCTGTGGAGCCGATGGAGCCTTGCAGGTTCGGAAGTTTCCTGACATGCTGCTTGCCAGCTCTCAACAATGAAGTTCCGTGTGCAATCCAGTAAGTGTCAACCACATTGGTGTCAGGATCTCGCTGAACAGCTAGAACCACTGCTGGACCACGCCATTGAATTGTATGGAACCGATCATTGGACTCTCTCCAGTAGAGGCATCGTTCTCCTGGAGATAGGTCTTCGTTTTGGCCAGTGAACCTTCTCAGCAATGCTCTTCTGAGCTTGACATCAATCTCAGCTTTGGCGCATGCGGCATGGGCACTTGCTCGTAGTTGAAGCTTCTTGTACAACCGTTCTTGTTCAGTCGTTTGTAGCTGAAGAGGTGAGGTGCGTTCATCACTCAGCAAACCAGGCACATTGGGTTGCCTGCCATGAGCCAGTTGACACGGTGTGTAGCCGTTGACGAAGGTGTTGTTGTTCAAGGAAGGGACAATCCAATTCAAGGCATCTTGGAGTCCAACAAGTCCTGTCAACTGATGCTCACGGATGAAGACTGCAAGACCTCTTCGAAGAAGTTGATGTCGTCGTTCAACAATGCTTGTTCTTGTGTGGTCTTGCCCTGGTGAAATTCTCATTTCAATGCCATGTTCTTCAGCCCATTTCATTGAGTTGTCGCTTGCCCAACCGGTGGCCTCATCGACAAAGAGACGTTCAGGAGGGCCATGATGTCGGATCCAACCTCGTTCAAAGGCTTTTTGTAGTGAAGGACCTTGCTCATCAGGAACGGTTCGGGCACTCATGAACCGAGTTGCTTCATCAACCATGACGAGGATGGGGATCTTCTTGCCCTTCCGCTTGGTGGCTCCGTCAGGATCCTCATTCACGAGGTCATACCACATCACATCAGCTTGTACGTGGGTGTTGAAGTTCTCGGCTCTGCTGAGATGAGCTGGAGCTGCACCTTTGCGGACGGCAAAGTTCTTGCAATATGGACACTCAAGATCTTCGGCTGCCTTGATGATCTTTTCACCACATCCACGTTGGTGAAGGAGGGAAACTAGAAGTTCTTTTCGTGGATGTCCAAGATTGCGATGAAGACGGAATGCTAATCTTGCTGCTTCCGATCCATGGGTGGTGGCCAGCTTTCGAAGAACACCAGTCAACTCTTGTTCATCGCCATCTCCAGCAGCAAAGGTCTGTTCTTCAAGTCCTTCAGGCTGAACGAGGGCATGTGCTATATGCTGTGCCATCTTGACGGGGTAGTCCTCAGCCTTGTGGCATCTGTTGCTGCCTTCGAGGGTTTGGTGCATGTGATCACCACTGCATCTCTTGGACATTCGACGGACCATTGCCAACTTTGTTGTTTGAAGAGCTGTTGGCTTCTTGATGGGCATCTCTTCATGGTTGTCGTTCATCGTGGTTGCGCCATACTCACATTGATCAAAAATGACCTTGTAGCCAGGGAGGTTGGCGAAAGCTGGAGTTTTCCAGGACAGCGCGTGAGCTGGATGTTCGATGTGAGCATGTGAACCTCGGCGCACCTGTCCAAGATAGGCACGACGGCAGAACTTGAGATGCTTTTCATGGTCTTCTTGTCGGCGAGCTTTGAGGTGAAGCCGATCGTCTTCTGTTTTGACGTTGATGTTCTGCATGGTGCTCCATAGTGTGCATTTTGGACTCAGCCACATTTCATCAGGTGCTTCTTCATCAGCTAGCTGCAGGAAGGCACGACGGTCGGCTGCTTTGTTGAAGTTCCAGCCATCTTCAAGTCCAAATCGTCGAACTTTGGCACCAAGTCGTTGACATTCTTTGGTGACATTGCCACGTCCGACATAGACTTCCCAGACCACTGGCTGTCGGTCAGGTTGGTGATCACGGGCATGAAGGACTTCACGTTGTAGCCGTCTTTCTTCCTTGCAGATCTGTTCCAGCACCATGTTCCAAAAACCGCGAAGTGACTCTTGGTTCTTTTCTTTCTCACCTTCTTGAGGAGGTGATTCCAGGTCTTCAGCCGTAAAGACCGTGGAGGGCTTGAAGGTCTTTTCCAGGTTGCTCTTGATGCAACTGAAGCGACTCTGGGCCTTCATGTCTTCAATGAAGTCGTCGAAGCGAAGGATCTCATGGTGGTCATCCTCAGTTCGAAGGTCGAACTGGTGGTTGTTGAACTGCATTGGACCAGCTTCTTTGCGAGCTAGCCTCATGAGCATGGTGTTTTGGCGTCCTTTCTCAATTGGAAGCCAATCACTGCCAAGGATTTGCATCTTGTAGGCTCCGAAGTCGACAACTGCTTGAAGCCTTTCCATCACTGGTCTCCCAAGGAGGGGAGGTGTGGCTCCGAAGATGATGTAGGCCTGAATGAAGCCTGCCTTTCCGTTGATGTACGTGGGCACTGACAAAAGCCATCTTGCGTGACCACTGGCGTCTCCGCCAAACTTGAAGTGTTTGCTGCACTTCTTGAACTCCAGTCGTGAGAGATCGACGCCAAGGAGCTGCAACCAAGCCATGTAGCGAAGGATGTACTCCGTGCCGATCAGGAAGCTAGATGCTCCTTGATCCTGAATTGCCATTTCTGGAGGGACCAACCATTCATGCTCAGACACGAGGACATCTGAGCTGCTGTAGGCGTCTTCACACTCAAAGAACTCTTCACAGTCATAGAACTCGACTTGGACTGTGTCATTCACAAGGGTCATGACATTCTCATGAGAGGTGGCATTCTCACAAACCATGACATTCTCAGAGGCGGTGACATTCTCACAAGCCATGACATTCTTTGGAGAGGTGTCATTCTCACGGGCCATGACATTCTCAAAAAGAACCATGCCAGTGAGGAGAGGATCTGTTTCCTCCAAAGTTCTCTTCTTTGCTGAGGTCGGGGTCGTGCTTGAGCTTGATGCCTTGCATTGCGAGGCAAAGTGTCCAGGCTTGCCACATCGGTGACACACCATTGCATCACGCGCACGAGCTTTTCCTTGTGGTCCTTTTCCTTGTGGTGCTTTGGACTTTGATTTCCCCTTTTTCCCACGTCCTTTCGGACTCTTTCCACCTGAACTGCTGTTGGCGTTGGCCATGACGGGGAGCTGGTTCTTGTCGACCATAGCAACCACTGGATAGAAACCACGTGAGCGCTTGAGTTCAAGCACCCGTTGTTTGGCATCAGTGTAAGCTGCCATTGCCATGTCGTACTCTTCGGTGTCGAAGATCGTGTCCTCATCGGTGTGATGGAGGTATGCCAAATCTTCTGGGTCATCAACGAGGTCGTACTCCTGGTCATACCACTCATCAGCTTCATAGAAAGCATCTTCATCGGGCTCATAGTCTTCTGTCCAGTCATCCTGTTCCCAAAGCTCATCGTCCTCAGCCATGTGGATGAGTTGGCGGGATTTCCATCGTCCTTGGAAGCTTTGGTTCTGAGCTCGTCGGACTGCAGGTTGGTGGACATGCTTGTAGTCTTGTCCGAGGATCATGTACATGGACTTCTCGATGTTGTTGAGGGACATATCGGTGCCGGCCTGTGTGTAGATCATCTGTTGTTGATCTTTGCTCAAGCCAGCTTTTCTCAACAACAGCCAACCAGCGACCTGCTCGGGGAGCGATATCTTGTACTTTTGAAGTTCTCGAAGGGACTGCTGGTGCTCAGTGCAGAACTCAAGGAGCGACTGCCCAACTCGACGTTGCGTCTTGTAGAAGTACTTCTCGAATGCGTCAGGCATTTCAACCCGATCATCATACTGCCATTGGGCGTCCAGCCTCTGCAAAATGCTCTTGAGGCCATCGTCCTTCTCGAGGGCGTCGAGGTCCAGGTCCTCGCATTGGCGCCAGCTTGCACCTTCCAAGATCGACAGGACTGACAGACCTGTCTCATTTGCTCTTCCTTGGATCGCCTGGCGGCGGGCGAACAGCAGGATCCTCTTGCGCCACTCTCGGTAGCCGGTCATCGTGTTGTCGAAGCGCGGGATGTAGCTTCTTTCATCTTTTCCAAGGGTGGCCTTCTCGGCCGGCTCTTTCGCCTGCGAGCTTCCCTTCGGGGATCGAGACATGGCGGCAAATGGATCCGGAGCTGCTCTTTGGCAGCTCCGCTACCAATGTGAAAACACGGGAACACGAAAGGAGATCAAACCGAGTTCACCGTCGATGCGGAACGCTCTAAGTTTCCGTCTGCAGTAAGGGGACCTTTTCTCTTCAAGGCCTAGTACGGGCGGCCACGTCATGTGGCTCAAGCGCGCTGGACAAGGGAGCGGCGCGGCGAGTGTGAATCGAGCGCAGTCATCATGGAATGACTTCAACTCATGCTTCTTGCTACAAATTCACAAGTAGCTTTTAAATGCTCGACATGGAGATGTAGAAAAAAGAACTCAACAGTAGTTATATCAGTTCGATTCTGCTTTGTGCAGCTTGTAGCGCCTTGCTGATTGGCTCAAGGCCAGCGCAAGCTTGACAGAGACGGTGTGTAATAGGGTGTGTTTTATAGCGTTATGGGCTTGAAGAAGAACGAGAATGATGGACCAATTTGCACTTTTGTGAAGGGTGGCTTGACTGGCTTCATTGAGGCCATCATTTGCTACCCCACGGAGTTTGTGAAGACCCAGCTGCAGTTGCAATCCAAAGCAAACCCTGAGTACTCAGGCATGCTGGACTGTGCCAGAAAGACCGTTTCGCAACATGGGCCACAAGGACTCTACAGAGGGGCCCTGCCTTTGATTCTGGGCTCGTCTGGAAAGCAGGCAGCCCGGTGGACTGGCTACGAAACAGCCGCCAACGCCATGAAGGATGACCAAGGTAAGTTGACCATTCCCAAGCGCATGTTGGCGGGCGCGTGTGGTGGAGTGTCCGAGGCCATTTTTGCTGTGACCCCTATTGAGACTTTGAAGACTCGGGTCACTGATGACGTTCGACGTGGCACCAAGAACTACACGGGATCCTTTGATGCCGTGGTGAAGATCTTGAAAAGTGAAGGACCCAGTGGACTTTACATGGGATTGGTCCCTACCATCGCCAAGCAAGCCACTAATCAAGCAGTTCGTTTCCCGGTCCAATTTTATGCCAAGCAATTCATGACTGGTGGCGACAAGAGTTTGGACACCAACCCCATCTACAATGGTGCAGCCGGCGCTTTCGCAGGCGCAGTGTCAGTGCTTTGCACAATGCCTCAGGACACTGTGAAGACTAGGATGCAGGGAGAAGAGGCCAAGAAACTCTACAAGAGTACCATGGATTGCGCGATGCAAATCATGAAGAATGAAGGCCCAATGTTCTTCTACTCTGGCACCTGGCCACGTATGATTCGAGTCTCATTGGATGTTGGCATCACCTTCGCCATTTTCCCAATGCTCGGAAAGCTCATCTCATTCCCGTACTGAGAAAAGCAGAAGCCTTTGCCTCGTGAGCTACCGGGGGCCGATAGGCGCACACTTCTTTTGTGGAGATAGGCGAAGAATGCACTATATTTGAATAATTAGTGTGGATCGGATTGCGACGTGCTCGGAAAAAATGGTGACACTTTGCTCGAGCCTTGCATTTTGCTACAAGCCACAGCTGACGGAACATTGCTTGGCAAGAACAGTGTGTACAGGTTAACTCATCCTCAGATGGCTGGCTAAGGAAGAAGCTGTGCCGGCTCGCTTAATAAGTATAAAAAATGGCAGGGTCGAGTACAGGAAGCTCAATTGTATTTTCAACCTGGCATGGGTGCCAGGTTGTTAAACATCCATCGAAAGAAAGGAGAGCTGGCAACTTAGTGAGCTTGATCCACAGCAGCTTTGCATGCTGCATGTGGTTGAGATGGAACTTGGTCGTTCCGAGGAAGCATCCTGGCAAAATTTGTGTCATCAGCCAAGTCATGTGGCATTGCAGCCCTTCTCAGATGTGCATCAAACATTGCACAGCATTGCCGAAACCAGACAGAAATACGCACCTTTGCCAACTATGTAGAGAGATGGAACGGGGTCCTCCGCTGCAACAGGTTTTCGCAGATGAGAAGCAGAGCTCCAAGCTTGAGTTGTGACCTCACCTGATCTCACCTTGAGTCTCCCAACGTAATTTGTACCATTTAGGGCCATCGCTATTAGGTTGGAGGCCATCCAAGTAGGTTGGAGACCCTGTGTGAAGTCTGGTGTTCTAGCCGTTGGTTTGATCTCATTTGCCCTGTTCGCAGTTCGCTGGCTGGTGTGCCAGCCAGAGTGCTTTCCACAAGTGCAGGTGTCACGACTTCAGTAAGTCATATCAAGAAACAAGACTGCCAGATGCGTGTCAGTCTTCATAGTGTTCCCTTTGGGTTTGTGTGTGTAAGGCGGCAGTAAATCGCGCTCACACATGTGTAGGTACTTCAAATTGCCTGCGACTTAGTGTCCATGGACCGCTACGGCAGCTTCCGGCTGTGCCTTGAGCTTCTGAACAGGAGGGCCAAAGAATTGAAGTCCACGGAGTTTTGGAAGAGGAAGCCCGATCCGTTGACTCACTCAGCCACACCTTGCCGAAAGATGTCAGAACGTGACTCACGTCGTGCGCGCGCGCAGCTCGCGGAGCTCACCTCAGCTGAGGTTCTTCGTGGTCAGCCGCACCAAGGCACCAGAACGGACATGACCACGGTACCCACGGGATGATCGTACGGGAAAGGCTGAAAGAACCTCAAGGGATAGACAAAGATCGAAGTTCATCAAGTTGGACAGCCACTTTCTTAGGTGAAAAGAGTGAGATTTGTTCAACAACCTTCGTTCTGGGTTTGGCTTCCCTCCCGTTAGGTCTGTTCAAAGGCAGACAGATCACCAATCAATAATGAGCTCGGCCCACCAATATGATCCACCCATTGCATAGGGATGAGCCATGATGAGCCAATGATTTTTTGTTAGGTAAAATTCATATTGATGAAAGGCAGCTTGGTGCCTGCCAGCTAGCCTCTCAATGTTGAACAATTGCGCAGTTGGCTCCGGGGTGGGCCAGAAACAGCCCTAAACCGCCAGCGTTTCAAGAACCACAGCCTCGTTTCGTGAAGATTTTTAGTTGTGAGGTGGTGGGGACTGATGAGTATGACTGCGAAGAAGTGGAGTGAAGCACCCAGAGTGGTGCTGGGCACACCCAGGGACTGTCAGTGAGCTGTTTGATCAACAAGATGGTGCTCCACATGTTTCCGAGGGCTGCTCCAAGGCTCAATCATGGGACTTCAACAGAGAAAGCAACATGTGGACATGTGGAGACAAGAAGCTAGTAGTAACAAGTGCCACGCTAGTAGTAACAGGTGCCTTACTAGTAGTAACAAGAAGCTACTAGGAACAGGGGTCATCACCAACGCAGACTTACCGTTTACGGTGCCTCTTTCATGTTCTCAGTTCGGACACGTTTTCCGTTTCATGTTGCTCCCGGAACACACATCTGTGTGTTCGTTGTTGTGCCAAGCACGCGTTGCCGAAACAACCGCCAGAGCGATGGGAGAAGTGCCATGGTAGATGGTAGGGTCCATGGTTTCCGTGGTGGAGGAACTGGGAGAGTTGCCCTTTGAAGGCAGCTCGTACAGCCACTGGGCCAGGTTTGATGTATTTCTTCCTTGTGCGCTACTAGGGTGGAGGCCATCGCTATTAGGTTGGAGGCCATCGATGATGTGTAGCAAGGCTGCCACGTCAGCCAAGGCTTCAATTTTCTGCTGCCGTCCGATTGGACAGGCGGTCCTTAACTTGTTGCTCCAAGCGATTGCACTTGGTGGAAATTATCATGGAAGATATGGAAGGTTTACCACCTATACCACCTATTTGTAGCGGAAAATGGTCATCCAAGGGGCCCGCACAGGGAGTGTATGTTTTCTCGGCAGGTGTTGATTCTGGAGCGCCGCGCCTGGCTCTTCTGTTTTTGCAGCCGGGTCGCAAGGTGTCCAATTCTCACAGAGTTCTTGTGTGAAGCGGAGCTTTGTTCTCATTTTTCCGACATACCTCAAGTCTTTGTGGCCTCAAACGCAGGCCGCTAGCATGGCATTTGTTTTTCCATGTCTCGCTTCCAAAAAATCCCATGCCAGGAGGCTCCAAAACAAACACCTGTTACTACTAGCTTCTTGTTCCTACTAGTAAGGCACTTGTTACTACTAGCGATGCACTTGTTACTAGCAAAGGAATCTACCGCTGAGATCCTGTCCGCTCCGACGGAACCTAGGCATGGCTTCACGCGCCAGGCTCCAAGTTGAAAATGTCTGACCCAGGGGGGTTTTGTTCAATCTGGCTGCCACACCATGTTGGGCAGTGTATGTTGGGCAGTGTATCCCCACACTAGTAGCAAGGAGCTACTACTAGTAGCTTCGTGCTACTACCAGTAATGCCCTTAGCTACTAGTAGCGTCCTTCCTACTAGTAGCGATGCCCTTTGCTCCTAGTAGCTTCTTGCTACCAGTAATGAAGGAACCAAGGGGAGCTTTTGACCTCAAAGCGTCACAACTCAGCGAATTCCAAGGAGATCGCCTCCAACATCGCGCCATGGTGAGCAGTACAGAACCGGCCAAGCTGCACCATGATGCACCTCTTTCACCCAAGGCCGCAAGATTAGCCCATTTGAATATGGCCGCTGAGAGCCCAGACTCCGTTTCAACTGGGTCCAAGTGTCAGAAGGCCAAATTAAGCCTTCGAGGTTTTGCTGCCCGACTTGCCTTCGCTCCTGCGGCCATCTTTTGTAGGCGCACATCGAAGGACTTTTGCAAGTCAATGAAGACCTCCAACCTAGAAGCAATGGCCTCCATCCTAATAGCAATGGCCTCCACTGAGAGATCTTGCAAGTCAATGAAGTCCTTTGCAGGTTACATGGAAGAGAGCAGATCGAAATGTGCGCACAACTGAATCACAAATGATCAAACGCGAGTGATTGAAGTAAGTGGAATTTCAACAAAACATGTGCAAGTTTGTATATATATATATAGAGTTTCCTCAACAATAAATCTTGGAATCAAATCATTGCTCGAGCGCTATCCTGAGTCCAGTTACTAGAAGCTTAAGTGGCTACGCGCGAACTCCCTTACTGTAGTCTCTAATTACTTAGTTTAAAAGAGGAGGCAGGGCCACGGCCGTTTACCTAAACAACAAGGACGCTACTAGGCGGAGGCCATCGCTATTAGGTTGGAGGAGTAGGTTGGAGGCCTTCGCTAGTATCAAGAAGCTACCAGTAACTAAGGGCATCGCTACTAGGAGCAAGGACGCTACTAGGAGCTCCTGGCATCGCTACTAGGAGCATTCTTACTAGGAAGATTCACTAAGTCCTTTGATTTGACTTATTGGGGGTCCTGAGGTCCGCTTTGCCTGTGTCGCCGCAAGATGGCTGGCAGGTGCGGTCGACCTGTTTAGCTGCACCCCTCTTCAGGAAACAGAACGGCGACATCACTCTCAAGTATCTCAAGTGAAAACACATTTAAAGCCTGGGGGGGAAAGATCAGATGCATAAAGGAACGACACAAATAATGGTTCAAAACCTTAACCTCTCGGTGCAAAACCTCTGTGCAGGCCGTGTGGGCGGTTATGTGCCGCTTGCATTGGGTGGATTTAGTGCAAAGAGCTCAAGGTGTCGTTCGCTCAGCGCTGAACGAACGAGGGGGACTGCATTTCCAAGGCAGGTGGCGCTGTGGCCTTGGAAGCGGCTGTGAATTTGCAGGAGCAGGTGATACTGGATGCATTGATTTTGGTCTTTGACCCAGACCAAATTCATCCAACCTAGCAATGGCCTTCTAAATTATGGCGCCCGAAAGGTCGACGCGGTGCCCTGGCCACGGACTTGTGATGTTGCCGGCCGACTGCCACGAAGCTGCACGAAGATGGTCGTTTGAGGAAAGTAGGAAGCTGCGCGAGCTGCCCAAGCCTCTTTTTTGAGCTGCTAGGCAAGTCCGGCGTGCGTGCAGCTCAGAGACAGAAAAGCAAAGGTTGAGCAAGAGTTGACATAGAGAGTGCAATGAGATGACGAATAAAGGCCAGGCCCCTGTAAAGCAAAAGGACCCAATAGCAAAAAGGATCAAAAAGGAACCTAGGAGCCATGGCCTCCAACCTACTAGCGATGGCTAAATGTTCTACACCTTGCCCCTTTCTTCTTCAATCTGTTTGATTCTTTTCTATGTCGACCCTTCTTCCGCACGTCCAGGTCATGCTGGCTGAGTCGGAGCCTTCCAGCTTTAACATGTACAATGCTTTCCGCCTACAGGCCCTGCCGACAATGCGACGTCGCGACGGTTGCGCCACGGCACACCTTCGATGACTCCAGCCAGGTGATCCCAAAGATGATGCGTCCGCCTTCGCCAGCTTCGCCTTCGGAAGTGTCAGCATGCAAGTATGGTCCTATGGTCATTTGTTGTGTTTTGCGCTAGTAGTAACAGGTGCCTTACTAGTAGTAACAAGAAGCTAGTAGAAACATTGTTGTGTTTTTTAAAATAGGTTGGAGACCATCGCTAGTAGATTGGAGTTTTGCTCCTGGTGACCGCCTTGTCCAGACCTTGCCGTGGTCTGTGGGATCCTGTTTTCCTTACTTGTCACCGCCATGTGCGGGCCTTGTCTCCTGCTTGGCCGCGCCGTTGGCCCATTCTCACCAATTCAAGGAGACGCAAAAAGATCCTGAAACTATTTGGGATCTATGCTGGTAGAATCGCATCATGAGTAACATGAAGCGATTTCCTCCAACCTACTAGCGATGCCTCGGACCTAGTAGCTTCTTGCTAGTAGCAATGCCCTTGTTAGTAGCGATGCCGCGATGCCCATGTTCCTAGTTGCCGGAGACGACCCGTCCAGAAGGGGCCAACCTCGGCCAATCCGTAAGGTCTCCTGAGGTGAAGATCTTACGCGTTGCAGGGCACCAGCCTCGGATGCCCTTTGTTCCTAATAGCGTCCTTGTTACTAGTAAGGCCAGGAGCTACTAGTAGAGTTCTTGCTAATAGCGGTACGATGGCCTCCAACGTCCTAGAAAAAAGATGAAAAAAGAACTGAACAAAGCTTCTGCGTTTTTTGGCTGTGAGAGGTCCAACCACATCGATGCTGAGAATGCGGGATGTGAAGAAACCAAAGTTGGGGCTCCCACGGACTTGGAGCAGAGGCGACAGCGTGGGAGCACGGACTTGTGGGACGTAAGGTGGCAGGCGACGAGCGCTGAAGACCCAGCAAAAGAGCGTAGGAGTCAGCTAAATGTCCGGAAGAGCCACACTCAGGTCAGAACTACAATGGATGGTTCACACGTTGGATTGTCGGCAGGCGGGAGTGGTACAAGTGGCCATCCTTTCTGCTCACTTTGCTGGAGCAGACTCCGTGGTTTCAGGCCGAACACAGCATGCCAAGAGGCATTCTACCAGCTGGTGGCCGCCTTCTTGCAGGAGGGACTGACATGTTTTTTCTCCTTAGAGGCCTGACCGCCGACCGCAGAGCTCGCCACGCAATGGCGACGGCCACGAGTTCTTTTGCTTTCGGTCTCTTAGCCCACTTCCTGAACCTGAGGTTGCATGGATCAAGGATGATAATCATGACAACAAAAATGCTTGACATTGTTGGAGTAGCTGAGAGCGGTACAGTAAGTGGTAAGTGTAAGAGTTCTTTTGAGCCATGCTGGAAGAGAAGACATATAAAGACAACGGACTGGTTGCGAGGCCATCGCTCTGAGTTTTTCAGGCTCGGTTCGGATGCTGCGTCCACCGGCGCCATGTTCATGGAGCTCACGCGGTGCGCATGGAGCCCCAGTCCATGTGGTTCCAAGGATGGGCAGATCAGTGGTTCCAATGGCAATGACAATGGCACTGTCCCACAGGAGCTGGGCCAGAAGCCGACGAAACATCAAAAACCGATGCCACTCAACGACCGATTCTGATGGCTGGGCCTTTCCAAGCGAAGCAGATCGGGCGAATCTTCATGCATTGGCATCGGAGAAGTCGGTGAAATGTGTAGATGGGAGAATTCTGTCTGATTTGGACCTGACCAATCCCATCAAACTTCAAGGCCTTACAGAAGACTGGCCAGTTTGTAAGACGGGCATACGAGACTTCATCAATAAATGTCCAGATGTGAAATTTCGGCTGCGCCAGAGTTCCAGTTTGCATGAATATGGCTTCGCAGGACCATCGAAAGGTCAAGTATCTTTGGCGGAGTACTTCCAAGAAACATTTGTAGACACGACTGCAGTGATTTTTGAGAATGATTTTCTCAGCACGGTGCCGATTCTCGGACGTGAGTATTCTGTACCCAAGATACTTTGACGTGTTCACGGCATGCCAATCTTCAGTGCAGGCAGAAGGGATACAGGTGTGGGGATGCATCGGCACAATGAGAGCTGGTTAGCGCAGCTGCTTGGCCGGAAAGCATGGTTTTTGCTACCAGCCGATTGTCCACGGCCACCGTACCAGCCACCATGGAAGTATTGGAGAGAACGGCCAGAGGGATTGGTGGTTTCAATTGTAGAGCCGGGGGAAGTGCTTTTCATACCAAGAGGTTGGTGGCATGCAACTTGGAATTTGGATGATGAAATTCTAGCGGTTGGTTGGGAGGCAGACGCAGACGTGGCGGAGATGACCGCACCGGAGCCCATTTTTGCGATTCTGGACGGCGATTTGGATCGGCTTCGCCGGTCGTTGGAAGGAAAAAAGGAAAAAGAGATCGCGGCAGAAGCCGCTTCCGCGCTGCCAATGTTTGAAGCAGCTGCGCGAAGTGGAAGTTTGGAGATCCTGCGATATTTGTGCCAACGATTTGGTTCTCCAAGCCCGCGGGAGGCCCCTTCCGTTGCTATCGCCGCAGCTCGAAGTGGTCAGCTGGAGATTTTGCAGGCTTTGTTGGCGGCTGAAGTTGAAGATCCAGAAATACTGTTTTTGCATCGCATGTGGTGGCTTCCGCCGATTTTTCCAATGGGGACCACTGCTTTGCACGAAGCTGCCAGTTGTGGTCATGCTGACGTAGTGGCTTGGCTGGTAGATCACAAGGCAGATCCATTCCTCAGAGATGGCAGTGGATGTCTTCCCCTACACCTGTCGGCCATCCATGGCCATGCAGAGGCTCTGGACACCTTGCTGAAGCGCAGTCCACCGGAAGGAGATGAAGGAGATCGGTACCAACACCTGGACAGTACATGGCCCTTACATCAGGCAGCTTTCGGGGGACATGTGGAATCTGTCAAGGTCCTTTTGGCTACTGGGGCAAAGGTCAATGTACGTGATGCTTTGCGACAGACGACCTTGCACTATGCTTCCTTGAGAGGTCATAGTGCCATGCTTCGTTGTTTATTGGACGCCAAGGGTCAAGTGAACGCAAGAGATACGCAAGGGAGAAGTCCCTTGCATACTTGCGTCCGGGGTAGTGAAAATGGAGCTGAAGTTCTAGTACCCTTGGCCACAGCAGCCCCTCCAGAAAGAGACCAGCATCTCAATGCCATAGTTGTTCTGTTAGAGAACAAGGCGGATGTGAACATTGTGGATGATCATGGTCGCTCACCTTTAGACTATGCACTTGTAGCTGGCCATACGAGGGTAGCTGAAGCAATAAGATCAAAAAAGTCAGATCGGACCACGCAACCCTCAGTTTTCATGTCCTGTGTTTTGGCCCAATTGCATGTATACTAGGAGGTTGGAGACCATTGCTACTAGTAGCAAGAAGCTACTAGTAGCGATATATTTGCCCGTCTGGCAGGCTGACCAGGAGGCCCTGGAAGCTTCGCAGCTGAGCATGGTGATTCAGTGATGCGGAAGTCACAAGAACAGCCGACAGCTGTCCAAAGAGACAAGACTTGCCGTTGGCGCTGTTGGCGTTTAAGAGTTTATGACTTGCTCTTTCTTTTTCACCTACAGTGATTGTAATGGCCCCCCAACCTAATAACAATGGCCTCCAATCTGAGAGATCGTCTTGAACAGCTCAGGCTGGTTCCCTGCTATCGAAGCGAAGTGGCCGAGCTCTCAGGACGCGCAGTTGAAACCTTCGGCGACCGATGCTCGAGCGGTTTTTGGAGACATCGAGGCTCGCAGAACCTGCAATGCCAGGCCAAGAGCCTTTAAGAGGGTGTGTTGAAAGCACCTTTTTAATGAAAGGGAGAAGATGGGAGAAGAGACAACAATTTATTGTTCTGTTTGCGGGCATTTTCTTAATGGGGGCCTCATAAAAGAAACGGTTAAACAACTTCCACGTTGATCATGGTATAAAGTTAAAGACCGTTCGCTTTCTCATGTTTTGGACAGGTATGGAAACGCAGTGATCACCGCTGCCCAAGTGTCTCACGGCATTTCAGGGCAGGACCCATGAGCTGTGATCTCGTTGCAGGTATCGCACAGGTTCCAGTACAGTACAGGTACAGCACAGTGGAACATGTCGGAATTACAAGGAATTACACAATGCATACATACATGCATGCAGACATAGATACATATTTTGGATTGTCAAGACTATACTGGGTTCCCATTGTTCTTGGTGAGTTGCAACAGCTCCTGTGACTCGTGGCGGATATTCCTCAGGATTTTGTCATTACCATTGAGGATTGGCCACGTCCTCAACTGTATATAAGTGTGCAGTTCAAGATTTGTACTAGGAGCAAGGACGCTACTAGTAGCTCCTGGCCTTACTACTAGGAACAAGAAGCTATTAATTATTAGTAACAAGGGCATCGGTACTAGTAACAAGTGCATTACTATTAGTAGCATTCTTGCTACTAGCAGCAAAGCATTTTTTAAGGAGTCGTTTGGGCACATCAACAGTTCTGGGCGAAGCGGTGGTGAATTTCAATGATCTTTGGAAGGCCTGGTGTCGCTTGGTTGTCCTGGCCATTGCTTGATCCAAGACTTGCCGCTGTCCGAGGCTGCAGGTGAACGAAATTTGAACCTTCCACTTTGCAAGAGAGAAGGGCCAAGGCAGTTTCATATAGGTCGAGAGTTAAGCTTCACTAAAGATCTCAAGGAAGCTTCCCCGCCTGAGGTCGGGGGAGCTTCCTTGAAGCGTGAGCTTTCTTGCGTCCGGCAGGTAGTAGCTTTAAAGCTAGGGGCTATGCGTTTTCTCTCCCATACTTAATTAAGTAAGGAGGCAGGGCCACTGGGGCTTTAGACAAAAGATGTCAGAGGCCAATTCCACTTTGCAGTGACATGACACGTGAAAAACTTAGAGGTCTCCCAGTCGGGGGGCAGTTGAGCCAGGCTGAATGGCATGCTCAGATACTCCCACGCACAGCCCGCGCCTCAAGCATTTAGAACCAGTAGCTTTGCAAGCATCAAGTGTGACACCAGGATCAAGCGGTATCAATCTCTGCTTGGGGGCGTGCTTCCGGCATGACTGGCCTTGTAGTTTTGCTTCTGATTCTGTAGCCTGTGCCGGCCAGGACCATTATCGGCGAAGCTTGTCTGGCACCTTATTCCGCTTTGGCAGCCGCATGGGCAGCATGAGCTTCGGCAAGAAGTTGTCAAAGTCACTGTCCTTCTACAAGGACAGCGCTGAGCCTCACACATGCGGCGATTTCCACAATCGGCAGGTGACTTCACATGATCTCCAGCCTGACTTCCTTTGCGTTTTTCTCTCTGTCGATGAACATAATCTATCAGTAGTGGACTGGTTTCGGCAACGATCTTGGAACAATTACCGAACAATCCGCAAGCGATTGAATCTGGGTGGATAATGGTGGACAATTAATCTTGTGGCAAAGGCGAAACCCTTTTGCAGCATGGATTGCCAAACAAAGATAAGTTAAGGTTAAGTTAACAATCTATTTTTTGCGCATCATGATGCATATCCATCTCAAGATAAGGACCAATAGACTTGCTTAAGCCCCATGGACCCAAGGGTTGTGAAGTCGTCTATGGCCAAACGCCCTTCAGTACTGTGAGGGATAACCAAAAAGCATGAGGCGGAAAGTTAAAAAGTATCACATATTTATAGTTGAACGTCTCAAAATCTAACAAACGTCATGTGTTTCAAAGCCATGGCTACGCTTGCAATGCAAGACGTGGTTACTCTGGTCATGCAGGACTTGAGATCGAGTTCCCACACGTTGATCGACCCCAATGACACGTTTTTCTTGGACAAACAACTACCGTCACACGTAGGTTGGAGGCCACCGCTACGAAGGTTGAGGTAATATCATGTCTACATCTCCAATAGCTTCATGGGTAATTACTAAATAAATCTAAATAACACATAACAATTAAGTAACACCAACAAGAAAGGGGTAGTAACAAGAAGCTACTAGGGGCTCCTGGCATCGCTACTAGGAGCAAGTAGCTACTAGTAACAAGAAGCTTCTAGGTGTGCATTTGAACAGACTTGGCTCCCTCAGGAGCGAAGCAGCCGGAGCTCACGGGTCACACGAAACACTAGTAAGGCAGGAATTGAGGACGAGTCCGGGGAAAAAGCACCTCTAAGAGCGATGGCCTCCTAGGTAGTAGCTACTTAAGCTACTAGGGGCTCCTGGCCTTATTACTAGGAACAAGAAGCTACTAGTAACAAAGGGCATCGCTACTAGCTACCGTTTGCTTCTACTAGCTATCTCTAGCTGCTGCCTCACCTCTATGGCCTACACCCAAGAACCCTTCGCCAGGGCAGCAACTCGGACGACGTGAATTGGGCTTCAATGGGCTTGGGCCTTGGAAGGTCTCCCAACGCGAAACAACCGCAGACTCGTCATCGCGAGAACTCGTCGGCCCAGGTAGCGAGAACTCGTCATCGCAGACGCGGTCGCGAGAAGGGTCAAAATCAAAGGAACTGGCGCGTGGTGTGCCAGCCAAGTTTTCGCGTCGGCTTTGCTGTTTTATGGATACCACACGGGATCATGTATATACATACAACGGGGTGCCGAAAGTTGCGCTTCTTAACTTTTAAAACCGGACAAACCCCTTCCCGTCCTACGTGCAACATGTCGACACCTAAGTTGCGGTCAGATTTCCACACCTGAAAGCCTTATAAGTATTAATAAATGTAAACGGGTGTGGAAATCTGACCGTGCTGCACCTGCCAGGCAAAATGGACGTGTCAATCCGATCCGCTCTATACCGCAAGTGTCATGTTGGAACAGAGTAAGAAGCGTAAACTTTAGGGTTCTTGAAGTAGTTACTAGGTTGGAGGCCATCGCTATTAGGTTGTGTGCAGTCGTCACAATTGTTGTTGCCAGGTCAGACTAAAACATCCATGGTTTCCTTTGCTTCGTTTTCCTCCGAATCTTCCAAGCAAAGGGCAATGCCAAGGCGTTGACCTCGTGTTTGTGTGTCTACAAGGGCTTCACATTTTGCACAGATTTGGTCACAGTGCCGTGTCACTTCAATGATTTCATGTTGGTAGAGCAAAAACTCTTGAGCGGTCTCCATCCAACACAGGTGGGCTTCAATGGCAGCCAACAGATCCGACAATGAAGCTGTGAAAGGTGGCTTGAGACTGAGTTCGGCTTGTCAGGACCAAGCCACAGCCTTTGCCGACGAGATTGAGATACACCGATGTACCATGTTTGATCTTGAAAAACAGGAGGTCAGGCCACCTCTAACATTGTCTTATTTGTGTTTATATTTTGAAAAGACCATCCTGGATGGCCAAGGGGTTGGAGAGAAGACGCTCCTTTTTGGACCTGTTGTTGGGCAAGTCAGCATCCAGGAGTAGAATGTGCTCTTGGAACCACATCCTTTGTTCTCGAATTGTTATGCAGGAGATGATATTGGACCGCTCCTACACTTTCCTTGATTATGTGCGTGGTGGTCTTACTTCTTGGATTGCATGGGTTTTACACTTGGCTTTATTTCCAACCTTTAGTGATGGCCTCCAACCGCAGTGTGAAAGATGTTGATGTCCACGATGGGTTCAAGTAGGTGGCGGCCTGGAGCTGAGAATGATCCTTGGAATTGACTTCACCAGGTCCAATGTCATGGCCTTAGAAATCAGTGGAGAGAGTCTCTGTTACTCAGAATGTCCGTCAGCGGGTTCATGCTTGATTTTCCTGCAGATGGATACTATGAACCCCGAGTCCTTGCACAGTATGGCTCTCAGCCGGTTGTTTGCAACCTATGCACTTCGAAGGATCCGGCCCTACCGAAAAGAAAGCCCAGAGAGACCTGGCTCGCACAACCCTGCCCAAATCACTTGAAGTCTTAGTGCCCAACTTGAAGTCTGTACAAGAGCCTTGCGACGAGTTCGCCTGGCTTGCCTTCTTTCATGCGAAGGCGCTGGAGCGACCAAATCTCACAGCTGGCAGAACAACATCCATCACCGCGGGTCATTCTTTTCGGGTCATCCATCGCTACTAGGGTGGAGGCCATCGCTAGTAGGTTGGAGGCCATCACCTTCACTTTGGTCGTCATCGGTGAACTTTCTCATTGATCGTCTCCATTCTCTTGAGTGTTCTAGGATCACCTTTTTGACCGGAAGCTTCTGCCTGTCCCAACAGAGGAGCTGTTCCCGTCAAACATTCAAGTCTACAGCTGTTCGTCTTCACTTGCAAGTCTTTTGATTCTGTCCGCTTTGCTGTGAAGCTCTCGAGAGCTCTCAAAGTGATCTTGTTTTTGGCATTCTTCCTCCACACCTCCAGAGAGTCTTCTACGCACTATATCCCGCTCTTCGTCGTCATGCATTGTGTAGTCTGATCTAGCTCATGCCATCGCACGTGCTTAGCACGCGAGCATGCGCAAGGCATTGCCTATATGCCTCCTGAGGTCTTTGCGAAAGAGGCTTGGCCACTGCCTACGAAGATGCCATCGTCTCCTTGGGCCAAGTCTTGAGGCGGTTTGGTCTTCCGGCGTCTTGGTCAACGTGAAGCGATGGATATTGATCTGCAGGAGCTATGACAGCAGCAACGAGTATTTTGTCTATGGTTTTGGAGCCAAAATCCCTCCAAGTCATACAGCAAGGGCCTTAGGCGGCCTTGGCATTCGGACTTATTTGGAGTGCATCAGTTCTGACTGGACAGGTATGCTCGAACTGCTTTGCCCTCACCGGCGACTTCCTTTATCCCAAGGTGAGTCGGGGGAGTGGAGAAGTGTTAGAATCTTCCCATGCTGATCGACTTTGAAGCAGGCTCAAAAGACTCAAAATGCCCTTGTTACTACTAGTAATGCCCTTGTTTCTAGTAGCGATGCACTTGCTAGTAGTAGAGATGTCCCAGCTTCACTTGTGGATTTGAGGTCAAAGGCTTGGATGGCATCCTCCAAGTCTGCAGCTCAAAAGAGACGTCAAGAGGCCGGAGTCAAGTGGGCCATGTGAGGCATATCGACGCGCCTTGAATGTGGTTTCTCTTCATGGGCCTTCGGATTGTGTGGAGGCGCTGCAAAAAAGTGTTGATTTCGCCATGAGGAGTTGAAGAGAGAGAGAGAGAGAGAGAAAGAGAGAAAAACATGGAAGTAAGCAAGGCCCGGTCTAGAAATGGAAGACAGAAAGAACATTGCAAAGGTCGGTCTAAAAACCAGATACACCGAGGTGCTCAAGCTTGCTGGCCGCTTCGCTAGGAATTTCGTCCAGGAGTGAGAGAAATTGCTGCGCTTCAAGCATCGCTTGATGAAATGGTCACACCTTCTCCAAAGTACTGCGGTGGAACCACACTGGGCTCATGATTTGTCCACTGCGTTTGCAGTAGACATAGCTCAAACAGGAGCCTGAAAAGGAAGTTTTGCGGTCGACTGTACCTCCAGACTTGATTTACTTTGTGTCTCGGCTTGGCGCCCTTCTAGACACAAGTGACATGCATCTCCTCACTGTTGAGAGACTGACTGTCAGGTTCTATTGATTTTGACGGACTGCACCTCAGATACTGTATCCCTGGGCAGAATTCATGCAATGGAGGCCATCACAATTAGGTTGGAGGCCATCACTATTAGGTTGGAGGCCATTGCTAGTAGGCTGAGCGTAGAACTTCAGGATGGCGAGATGGAGAGTGAGAAGCAAATCGTCGAGGAATTAAGGCGCATTCACATGGTACCACCACTTCTTGAAAAAATTGCCTCCTAAGAACCTTGAAGCAAAGACGTGGCAACACGATGCATGTTCATGTCTACAGCAAGCAACGTTTGTTCTATCCTTTTGTCACTTTATGTCATGCTTTTGTGCCACATCCAGGAACCTCCAGGCACGCGCAGAGTGACAGATTTATATAGCCTCCTGAAGCTTGTGAGATCTTGTTAGCTGGTCGCAAGGCTTATCCTATCTCGGTTTTCTTCATCGGGATTGGAAGTAAGGAGATGGAGATGAGGCTTTTGGCTCCCAAATGAAAGCCTTCTCACGTGCAAAGGACTTCAGTTTTCTCCGTGAGCTCCCAAATGCTCTTAGCCTCAACTTCGACACGGACCATTTGCTTCTTTGCTTGACAGCTTGTTTGGAGTGAGCATGTTCTCACCAACATATTCTGCCTCTAGGATTTTGACAAGCCAAAATTGGAGAATGTGTTCGGAACCCAGTGGCCTCGACCAGCCTCCACAACAGCTTGAGCCGAACACCTGATTGGTCTCTTGAAGGAGCAAGACTGTAAGCCGCCGAGTGGTCCAGTTCGTCCAGTACAGCGAGTGCCACCTTGTTTAAATCCATCAAAACTGACAGCTACATGCTTGCAGCATCCTTAGACAGCTACTGCTTGTCACAAGAAGCCGTTCAAAAGAGTTGTCGCATACTTTTGGCTTGCTCCAGGGATGGATACATGACATCAGATTTGCTGGATTCAAATTTAGACATCAACAGATATGAGGTTTCAAGTTACCTTTGCCAGTCCTTGCTTTAAGTTTTTGTACCATGGACAGTGAACTTTCGGATAGGTTATGTATGATTATGTAAATTCGTGTTGGCTTGCTATGCCTCGCTTCGGCTCATGCCTCAATGGCATCGACCCATCAGCTCACTTATGAGGCTTCAGCTGTCGAAGCATAATAGCAAACTATATTGGACCTTTCTTCCGTGTCCTTTTTCTTGGTTTCTAATAGCAATGGCCTCAACCCTACTAGCGATGGCCTCCAACCTAATGGAACTGTCAGAATCGTCCAAGAAGTGCAGATTGGCATAGGGAAACGGCACTCACACTAGAATAGTGTATCGGTGACCTGTGTTTGTGGCCACACTTTTTGTTATTGTGTTTGGACACGTGTTGTGCAGGAGGTCATTGCTGAGCACTTCTTCCCACTAGCTGGCAAAGCACGTTTTACCAACCGCAGTGGAAGGAATGGAGGGATGTGACAGATACCTTGTGATATTTGATGAAGATGGAGTCTTTGAAGAGCGATTGGCAAGAACCCTTCCCAAATCATTCATTGCATCAAGTGCTAGGATACCGTTGAGAACCTGTGGAAACATGACATGTTACCCATAGCTCATGTAGGCCCGATGAAAACAAAGCGCGTCAGCGAGGGTATTGCGCCAATAAGGGAGTCGTGCATGGTACTGTAGGGAGCAGAGGCACTGCGGCAGAGCGTGGTCGGGCCGCAGTTGCCAACAAAATCCACTTGGAAGGGCCGTTGATCACATGTGGAGTGACGGCAACATTGACTGTGCTTCTTGCAGTCGCATTGAACGGGGCCGGAGTTGAACAAGAGGTGCAATCGGCATTGAGAGTTGGGTCGTACATTGTCGTACATTGTTGGGTCGAACTCTTGACTATACCCTGGAAGTCGAAGACCATGTTCATTTTCATGGCTGATCTGCCAATGGTGCTTCGATTTCTAGGATATAGCAGACGTGCGCTTCGGAGGGACGGACCGTGGGGGTCGCTGGGAGGTTCCGTGCAGCGTGCAGCGGCTCACCAGCAGGGAGGTTCCTGGGATCAGGAACTTTAGGTCGCGTGCCCGTGGCGTGCCCGTGCTGCGTTCCTGCGTTCCGTGTGCGTGCGGTGGCCGTGCGAACCCTTTATGTGGGCAGCTCTGTTGCAACATTGGGTCTTGAGCAGCTACAGTGTTTTCAGGTGCACTGTTGCACTGTGGACATTGTATGTGATTCCGACATGGCACAGCCTGGAGGCGGATCAGCGAATCCACAACAGCTGATGCAAGCAATTCAGAGGTTACAGCAAGGGCAGTCAAGGTTGCAAGAACAGGTGCAGCAGAGCTTGACTGAGAATAGGCAGATACGTGATGCAAATACAGCATCGTCCCAGAGGTTGCACCAGGCTGAAAGTGATTTTCGACCAGTTGTGGCCGTGAGACAAGAGAGAACAGAGAGCATGGAGGTTCTGCGGGTGATTCCAGAAGCCCTCAAATCCATCGGGGGACAGAAGGAGAGGAAGAACTTGTTCGATAGCAAAGGTTTGGGCAAACCGCAAACTCTTGGAGACGAACAGGCAGAGCAACGTTTCAGGTTGTGGAGCATCAAACGTGAAGACTATGTTGCTGGAGTGTTTGGTGAAAAGTGCCGTGAGGCAATGCAGTGGGCTTCAGAATCTGAAGGAGAGATCACAGAAGCATTGCTGGCGAACACTTATGGTGAGCATGCAGAGTCCAGTGATTCCATCGATGATGTCGATGACATGAACACAAAGCTGTACAGTGCATTGAGGTCCACGACAGAAGGAACACCTTTTGATGTGGTGGACAACACGTCGAGCAACAGTGGGCTGGAAGCTTGGAGGTTGTTGCATCGGAAGTATGACCCGGCCACAGGTGGGAGGAAACGCGTGTCTCACCACTCCGGATAGGGCAACCTATGAGACCTTGGCCGGTGCCTTAGAGCCCTGCGAGCTTGATACAATAGAAAGAAGGAGCTTCCTGAGAGTTTGGCTATAAATGCCTTGGAGAAGTTGGTTCCTGAAGAGTTGGAACAGCATCTTCAGTTGAGCTATGCTCGTTTCAAAACCTACGACCAGATGGAGGAGGAAGTTCGCTTGTTTGTTGAGGCCAAGACAGGTGCCAAGATGACCACCAGCAACAATTTCAGTCAGCCGTCGGGTGAAGCAGTTCCGATGGACGTTGGGGCATTGACTGATGCAGTGAAGGGCATCAAAGACATTGGGGCTTTCCTTGGTCAAAGGCTCCAAAGGTGGCAAAGGCAAAGCTGGTGGCAAGAGCAAGAATGATGGCAGCAAGGCTTGTTGCCTATGTGGCAAGACCAATCATATGGCGAAGGATTGTTGGAGCAAGTCGAAGAGCAAAGGAAAGGGCAAAGACAATCGGTCAAAAGGTAAAGGCAAGGGTTCATCATCCCGGAACACCTCACACAGTCGTCGCGGTTCCAAGGTCGTTACAACTGTGGCAAAGAAGGTCGCAAGGCGAAGGACTGTTGCAAGGCTGGAGGAAAAGGCAGGGGTGGTGGAAAAGGCGATTCTCGGGGAGTCAGTTCCCTGAACCATGAACCGGAGAAAGAGGCCCAAGCAGGTGGACTAGATTTGTGCCATTTGAGTTCGGACTTGTGTGATGGTTGGCTTCGATTGAACTATGATACAGTAATACAGGTGCAGCTGTGACAGCATTGCCCAAGGTTTACAATGTTTACAAAGCAGATGGTGTTGAGTCGAGTTGCGACAGGCCTTTCACACTGTCGTCTGGCTTGATCTGAGCCGACAGATCATCGTCCATGCCATAGTTGGCCACATAGTCTCCTGCACGGCCAGCGCTGGCCTACTACATGAGGCGGCAACGCAAGAGACAGCTGCTGACCCCTCTGGGGGTGTGACGCCACGTGGTATAGCAAAAGCAAAGCCAGTCAAAAGAGCTTTCATTGAGAAGTCTGGTGTGACCCCCGGTTGTGATGGTTGCTACAGTGTCAAGAAGGGCAGGTTCAGCAGATTCAGCACAGTGCAGAGTGTCGTGAGAGAATTTACAGTCGAATTCGTGAGGATCAGGAGATTGCGCAAGACAAACGGGCCAGAATTGATGAGCCATCCAGTCCGACTAAAGGAAGTCCGTTCTCACCACTCCGCGGCTTGACAAACCACAAGAGAGATCCAGCAGTTGTTGAGGAAGAGGTTCGTGTTGGAAAAGAACGAGTGCGGACCTGCAGGGAAGATGTACAAGAAACAATATGACGCTGGACGATATTTTCTCCACGAACATCCTGAGCCATCATCTGCTTGGGACACGGCAGAGTTGAAAGCGTTGGGGGAACTCCCAGGTGTCTTTCGAGTTCGTTCGACGATGTGCAGTTGGAAGATGGTCCTGAAAGGCCAAGAACATGAAGGCTATGTGCGAAAACCAACAGTTTGGCTGACAACTTCGCTGAATCAAGAAACTACACCATGCATGCACAGAGATGTTCGGCTCATTGGAAGTGTTGCCAAACAAGCACAGGTTTATCCAGATCGTCTTGTCCGTGCAGTGTTGCAGGGACTTCGTGAGCAGTTGCTGGCAGACAAGTCGTTGTCTTCATGTGAGTCGCTGCACGCAGGTCCAACCCCGCATGAAGAACTTTGGAGTGAAGAGCAGTTTGCAGAGCAAGAGGAGGAGTTCATTGATGCAGCAGCCGGAGTCCTTCTCAATCCTGAGAAGGTGCGGAAAGCAAGAGTTGAAGAGTTGAAGTGGGTGAAAGATGAGAAGATTTATGATCGAGTTCCACGGTCTGAGTGTTTGGCCGCAACCGGAAAAGAGCCCATCTCCACAAAATGGGTCGATATCAACAAGGGTGATGATCAGAGACCTCTGTATAGGTCACGGCGGGTGGCAAGAGAAATCAAGAGACGCAAGCAGCCAGGTGAGCAATTGTCAGAAGTTGAATTGCTTGCAGCCACTCCGTCGGTTGAGATTTTCTATTTGCTTTGTTCAATGTTGATGACTTGCAGTTCAAAGGCCGCACAAGAGATTTGAAGCTTGGCTCTTGGGATGTGAGCATTTCATGGGCGTTGTTGAGAGTGACTTGTACATTGATTGATCTGCCTCCTGAGGACTTGCATTGTGATACAGATACAGAACCTACGCGCGGCAAGTTGAATCGTAGCGTGCGTGGAACACAAGGTGCTTCAAGAATTTTCAGACAGATTGGAATCAAGTTCTTGCAAGTCATGGTATTGAAATTGGAACCCTTTGTCCTGCAACGTTCAAACACAAGAGCAGAAACATGTGGGGCATGGAACATGGTGACGGTTTCCTAGTTCTTGCAAGTGACAAAGATTCGCAAATCATGGATGAAGTGTTGAGATCAAAATGCAAAGTTCATTGGGAAGCAACATTGGGACAGGATGCAAAAGACGACAAACAGATGTTTTTCTTGAACAGGTTGGTGCAGCTTGTGAAAAAGGAGAACGGTGAATTTCAGATCAAGACTGAGGCAGATGCAAGGCATTCTGAGTTGATTGTGCAACAGCTCATTTCTTGGTTCGAAGGGATCTGAAATCCCTGAAGGTGGAGATCAATGACAGCGAGCTCAAACATCTGCAAAGACAATTGTTGAGTCCAGAGGAGGTGAAGCTGTTTAGGTCGTTGACCACGAGGACAGCCTATCGTTCACAGGGCCGTCCGGATTTGGCGAACACGGCAAAGAATTTAGCACGAGGCGTGTCACAGCCCAAACGTTTCCATCTTGAGAAGCTGAAGAAGTTGGGTCGACACCTTGTGAAACATCCCTATGGGAAGAGAATTTTCAGAATGTAATACAC